ACCTCGTGAAAACTTTTGGCGAGAAAATGACTAGTTCGGGAATCAGGAAAGTTAGGGGGCTGAATTCTTCGTGGAATGTTCCCAGCACATTTACAACCTAAAGTTACTAAATTCAGTTCCTCTTTGTGCGTGGTTCTACGTATGGCCCCGTGGAAATTTCTAGCAGAGAAGTGGCTAATTCGGGAACGGGGAAAGTTGGGAGGCTGAAGTTTTCGGGGAATTTTCCCAGCACATGTACAACTTAAAGTTACTTCATTCAGCCCCTTTCTGTGCATGGTTCTCACGTACGGTCCCCTGAAAATTTTGAGCGAAAGAATGGCTAGCTCGGAAACTAGGAGAACTGGAAAGCTGAAATTTTAGCGGAATGTTCTCCAAGTTTCGAGCACCAGTATTTCCGAGTTTCGAGCACCAGTATTTCACATATTCTAGCTACTGGGTTTTCGAGCGATCTCATTACAGCACGAAATACTGCAAAAACGCATGAGCGCACGGGCTCGCCCGCTGCACGTCGCTAATGATTTTGAAATACCGGGCGTGCTGAAGCAATTCGCGTGGGTATTAAATCTTCAAGAAATTAGTTTTATTAACAGATTTCCAGTCTCACTGCCGAATGGTAAGGGAGAAGTGAGGAAAGGATCGTCGCCCCTAGAGCAAGAATAGTTTCAGCAGCTTGCATCGTTTTATTAATTTTTGTATTTCTCGTGCATATTTCTAAATTTTTGCATGTTTCGTACCGCCACTAGCTTGCCTCCGAGCAACCTTTGAAAGAAAGTACCATTGATAGCTTTGCCAACGGATAGTTGCTGTTGAGACTTGTCACCACTGGAATTGCTTTCTAGTGATTTTGCCTATTAAAGCATGAATATGGCGGGGTTTTTTTGATTTTTGTATTTTTTGTAGTCTTTTTTTCACTGAGTGTTTGCATCAATACTAATAGCAGTATCAGCAGCAACAACAGTTGCAAAGCGGTTTTCAGGTATCGCTGTGTACGTTGATCACTCAGATATGTCTGAAG